TTTTTTTTTTTTTTTTTTTGAGACAGGCTTTCTCTGTGTAGCTCTTGAGTTTGTCCTGGAACTAGCCAGGCTGGCCTTGAATTCACAGAGATCCACCTGCCAAGTGCTGGGATTAAAGTCGTGTGCTACCACTGCCCAGCTGGCATACGCCTATTGTAATCCCAGCATTTGGGAAGTGGAGGCAGGAGGGGTCAGGAGTTCAGGTCATATTCTGTGAAGCAAGCCTGAGCTATATAAGATCCTTTCTCAAAAAGCAAAGCAGAGCTAGAGAGATGGTTAAGAGTACTTGCTGCTTTTGCAGAAGATCCAGGTTTGATTCCCAGGACCCACACACAAGGTGGCTCACAACCATCCATAACTCCAGCTCCAGGGGATCAGTTGCCCTCTTCTGACTTTTGCAGGCACCAGTTATGCACATACATGTAGGCCAAACACTCAAACACATAAAATAAACAGATCTAAAAACAACAAAAGAACAAACAAACACCACAAAGCAAAACAAAATGAAGACAGAATACTGAGCTAAGGTCTTTGGGGAGCTTAGGGTACAATTAGAGAATCAATTGGCTAGAGGAAGATTTTTGGAATTCAGAGAATATAGCCAGCAACAACTCAGTATCAGGGAGCAGGAGGATTAAGAGGGCAAAAGACTGCTCATACCCTCAGAAACATCTGTCAGTTGTGGAGTGGTGGCCCGAGACACAGAGAAGCCGCCGCTCTCTAAGATAGAGGCCTCCTCATCTGACAGCTCTGAGTCTGTAATAGCTAAGGCCAGGGCTGTTTTCTTCACATCCACCTGCAAGAGAACCAGGATGAATCCAAGTAGGCTCCCACTTACTTGTGAAGTGGTAGCTCTAAAGCAGTTAGATTCTCTTCCCTCCCTTTGCATTTTTAGTGTTTGGAGATAGAGTTTTATATAGTCCAGGTTGGTCTCAAACTCATAATGTAAACCAGGCTGGTTTTGAATTCTTGATCCTTCTGCATCCACCTCTCAAATAGGATTATAGTGTGCATCACCATACCCAGCTTCCCTTTAGTCTTCTATTTGACACCCCATCTTCCTTGGACCTCACCACTGGAGAGAAGCCAGCCAGCTCTGCCTCGCTTTCACTCTCTGTTTCAGCAAGTGGCTCATCACCTGCGGGTAATGCATTCTTCCCTTGCCGCTCTAGAGAAGGGAAGCATGAGCAAAGACAATGGTGGGGGACAATTATGATGAAGGAACTACAAAATGACTTAAATTTCAGGACACATCATGAGACATAAACCTCAGCCCTCCCTGCCTTTCACCCTCCTGGGTTAAAAGAATCCCTTACTCCTCTTGTCATGTTTGTGGTGCAGGGCATCGGCTTCTGCCTTCATGCTGTAGTCCAACTGCATGAGCAAGGGCTCCAGGCGAGTGTACATCCTCTGGATCAGTTCATGATAAACCACCAGGGGCCACAACAGGATACTCAGCACTATGGGTTAGAAAGTCCGCTCAGAGCTCAGTATGCCATTATCCCAAGGGCCTTCATTAAGCTGTCCCCGGAAAAGGCAGGTCTAATCAGAGATGAGATCCTTTCTCAAGGCAGTGATAGCCTCTCCCCTCCCCATCTCTTCCCCAGATGGGTAGCTGACACAGACAATTCAGTTTTTCCTTTGGGCTAATCCAGAGAAAGAGGAGAAAGGGCATTGGGAAGGGCAGGGCTGGCCTCCACTCACAGACAATGTAGGAAATCATAATCCCTGGAACATAGTGTCCCAACACAGCTAGCACAGCACAGCCAGAACAGACTCGAGCACAAAACTGCAGAGAAGAGCATAGGGTCAATCAAAAACACTGGACTAAACCATGTGCCAGTCACTTGGGGAAGAAACCATCATTCATCTGGAGGAAGAATGAAACCAGTTTGGGAAATTTACAATAGACACTGCTCATATCACTCCTCTCCCATCCCCTCTGGCTCCAGGAACTGCTACAGGATGAGGTTTACCTGAGCTGGATTCTGCCTCTTGTACTGCAACAGCTCTTGCAGGTGAATCTGGAAGGTGAGCCAGCTCTCAGCCAGGTATCTGCACAACTCGGGCACACTCAGCAGGTGCGGCTGGGCGCCTGACCCCGCACCCTCACTGGGGAGACATGACATGACCCCTGGGAGCCTCAGAAACCAGCTTTCTAAGGCACTCACATCACTTTGAGGTTGCTAACGAGCTCTTCAATCTGGAGATGTGGAAAACCCCAACTCCCGCAGAGGTCACCCTAGTCCTGGGAGGCAAATTCCCAGGGTATTCAACCCTCTACCTCCACAGGGAAGGCACATAGCATCTTCAGAGGAGCCTAGGGAGGGCCAACACACTTTTGCTTGCTGCAAGCCCCTTCACTACACTGGGGCCTATGCCTGCAGAAGTGGCTCCTCTTTGAGCTGACCTGAGCACAGCAAGCAGACTACATTTGGGCATCTTTAAAGATGGCCTGGTTGTTCAGTGGTGGTTCACACCTTTAATCCCAGCACTCGGGAGACAGAGGCAAGTGGATTTTTGTGAATTGGAGACTAGCCTGGTCTATAGAGTGAGTTCCAGGACAGGCTCCAAAGCTACACAGAGAAACCCTGTCTCAAAAAAAAAAAAAAAAAAAAAAAAAAAGGGGCCTGTACTCACCTGTCAGAGTGTGGTTCCTCAGGGGGTGATGCTACAGAGAAAAAAGGGGAATAAATTAAATTAAGAGTGCAAGAGACACAAGACAGATGCCAAATCAGAAAGAGGTACCTCTCCTCAGCATTCCTGGTCTCAAACTTTCAGTGATTCCTCCTGTGTCTCACTTATAGGCATGAACCACACAGGAGGCCTAGAGTTTCCTTCACAAACCAACTGCAGGCTGAATTACATATTGTTTCTGTACCCCTTTCTTTTTTGTAGTACCTGGAATTGAACCTGAGGTAAACACTAAGCAAGTGCTGTACCAATGAGCTACCTCCCATCCCCAATCCTTTTCTTGAGACAGGGTAGGCCCTGAACTTGTACCCTCCCTGTGTCAACTCTTATGCAGCTGAGATGGCAGGCCTGTACCACCAGGCCTATCTTTGTCTCCTGCTTTAGACTTTGCTTTAATCAAACACAGGAGCCCACACTTTATTCCAGCCAGGCATTGGTGGTGTACACCTTTAATCCCAGCACTCAGGAGGCAGAGGCAGTCAGATCTCTTTGAGTCCCAGGCCAACCTGGTCTACAGAGCAGGTTGGAGGGTGGGGGAGCAAGGCTACACAAAGAAACCCTGTCTCAAAAAACCAAAACAAATAAACAAACAAATAGTGACGACAACTCCGATCATGTTCTTTGTAGACTCATTTAATCATGTTCCTGGGAAGTCCCTGCTTTTGCAATTCTTTACAAGGCCATACACCTGATAAAAGGCAGAGTAGGAAATGTAACTCAGGTGTTTTGATACAAACTCTACAGTCTTTTATTTTTATTTACTTTTTTGAGACAATGTTTCACTATGTAACTCTGGCTGACCTAGAACTCGAGAGATTGGCCGGCCTCTGTCAATTGAGTACTGGGATTACAGGCGTGCGCCATCACACTCAGCTCTGAACTCCACAGTTTTGACTACTAAACTCACAAGAAAGTTAAATTTTGGGTAAGAGACGACTCTCATTTCGGGCGATTTCTTAAAATGGGGAGAGAGGGGGCGTGGAGCATGCCTAGGAGGCGAGTGGCCTTGCTGTGTCTTCCCTCTGCTGTCCACCCTCACGCAGCAGGGTGAAGCAATGTGCAGAGCAGCGCGTGGAATGAAGACACTCACCTGAAACGTCGGGGAGGAAGCGAGGGTGCCAGAGATCCAGCAGGAAATAGGTCAAAAGTGAGATGCTGAGCAGGAAGAAGGGTCGGAGGGACGACGAAGACAACAACCTTAGGGAGACAGGCATCTCAGCCGCTAGTGGGTTAGAGGCTCCCAATCCCATCGAAAAGGACAGAAAGGCACACGATGGGGGAGACGGTCCTCTAAGCCTTACCCACCACCGACAGACTAAGAAACGGGGCAAGCTGATGACGGATCACCGCTCCT